TATCCCATGCATATATATAAACTACAGTAGCCAATTGCACAGATAATTCCAACCACAGTTATAAACAATTATTATCGATGACAACAAAGTTTATTTTTCGAGACAATCATGAAATCTTCACAAAATTATTTCACTTAATTCCTCATAAGAGAGATATCAGTGTTTTGGAACCAGCTCAAAACAAGTATTTGTTATATATCTTGATATTTATCACCGTAAAATATTTAGAACTAAACAAACATGATCCATTACTAAAGATTACACAAACTGTAAAGCTGAAACCATTCATAATTTCAGCCAGAGAAAACATAAAACAGAGTTAAATCAGTTGTTTTCTTACTCTTCTAACCTCGCAAGAATACCAGTATAAATTATATCTGCTGAGACTAGGAAAAATAAGAGTAAGATTAGGATTGGTAATAGACTAAGAAGTTGCACAAATCTAACAGGGCAAAAATAAGATAGCGTGACAAACAGACAGAGTAAATTACCCGAAACTACTCTATGAGAAGGCCGTCCCGGACCTAAATTCACCTGGAGCACGAAAAATTCACCTGAGGCACAAAAAATTCCCAGAAAAAAAACAAGTTGAAATTTCACAGAAAAAAAATGTTCCTTGCAAAAGACAAAACATCACCACGACTATAATGCTAAAAAGCTTCAATGCTAAAAAATAACGCTAAAAAATTTTCAACTTCATTTGGAAAGTCAAAATAATTATTATGAAGTTTACCTAACAGGAAAAAAACATTCAAACATATCTACTACTTCTCGTTCATAATAAAACAATTCTCACTTAAACAAGCGCTGAGAAACATAAATAGAAAAGCAAGATTTCATAGTCACAACAAAATCTTGCTGGACTATTAGATAAAAGCAAAAAAAATCTACAATAATTAAGATTATTGATCTAAAAGACCATATTGACAGTATTCCAATAACAAATGAGGAAATACAAAACAATATTTTCCATGTACTGTTCAATTAACAACCAAAATACTTCAAAAACATTAAAATTTAGTCCCCGTTATTCGACAAACGAAAATCTTGGCACAAATATTTAACTCAACCTGCAAAAGTAGATATCACTATATTAGGAAACAAAACCCTGCTTGGCTATTTCGAAAAACAACAACAGATCAAAAAATGAAAAAAAACAGACATCTTAGAGTATACTTACATTTATACAAAGAACCCTGTCTACCAGTTTAATTTTACTAGCTTTTTATAACATACACTCATCAAACATAAAAGGACATGTTGGTTCAAAAAAACCTACGATAACTTTATCCAAAAATTTTATTTCCCAAATGCACCCATTTCGATAAAAAGTAGTCTGCATCGATTGTCTCACATATCAACTGAATAAACCTTTTCCACGTCAAAAACAAACCGCTGAAAAACAGCGGTCCACTTTGAAGGAGAAAGTTGATAGTTCAATCACCAATTATCATTTGATACAAAAGATCCAATATCACCCTCTTCCGAACAAGATTCATTTATCATGGTAGTAGTAGACGCAGTTACAAATTGGGTAGCCCTAAATCCAGTTCCACGCTAATGCTTAACAAACTTTACAAAAACTGGATGTCAAAAATCGGATTACCAGAAATCCTTGTCAAACAATGGCACTCAATTTATTAATAATGAATTTATAACCTCAGGCAATTTATATACTATCAAACATAAACCAAAAACTTCGCATGCCTCATGGACTAATGGACTAGTCGAAGGCATGAATCGTTCACTACAAGAATATCTACGATGTATCATTAACCGAAATGATAAAAATACGCTGAATGGTCAACAGAGATAAAAATTATTTCCACTGTATATTTCCACTGAAAGTATTTCACAAATTAACACAATTTTTGGTTTATCAACCTGCAAAATAGGTTTAAACCGAAAACTACGTACACCGATAATGTTTACAACATTCACATCGAAAAGTTCACAAGGGTATTGTAAACCATCAAAAGATTCAATATAATATAATCTACCAGTTCATACCCAGGATGACGACCTTTTTCACCACTCATAATTTTTTAAATTAGCTTCCGGTTCTTCAATGGAATGGATCTTAGGCAAAGATAACAAACATAACGAAATATATCAGAAGTAGCGAAGAAATTATTACAAAACAAAACATATTCACGTTTTACACCAGCTTCGGATTCAAAATTTGGAATATTTGTTCTTACTCCATTTTTCACAAAAACAAAGGACATCGAAACAATTACAAACACTACGAAAAGGACCATGTCAATTTAATAACAAACAAATTGGTGTTACATATAAACTAATTGATCAAAATAAAAATAAATGATACAAATTAGAAACAACCTCTTGACATATCATCCAAAAGAGTACGCTCCTAGAGAGCTAACCCAGTTATACTGATTAACTGGACTCGATATTTTTGAATCAATACCAGATATCAAAAACAAAAACCCTTCAGAACACTCAAATGCAATCGAACAAACAAAAAATATAAAAACACTAAAAACAAAAGTACAATAACCAAAAACGAAAATCACTACAGAAAGAACAAACAGTAAATTACAAGAAAAACTACTGAATCCCGAAACAAAAAAATCCATTCTACGCCAATCAGCCCGACTCCGAAACAAACCGAGAAAATTTACAAAGCCTTTATACTACAACCAAAGATTTTGAAAAAAAACTCCATGATCAATCTGAAGAAGAAAGAAAAAGACATAAGCCTGTCTCACAGACTTAATACTTCTTTCAGAGCAACTCCTCATCATCAATCTTTTTTAATAATTCATAACATTTATCCATTTTTAAAACCTTGAAACGATTCTTTTTCTTCCAAGTGTATCTCACAGAAATACAGTCAGAACAAATCGACTAATCACAGCACTTCTTCATCTCACACTTTTTATCCGCCATCACTGTTCAATTAAGCGATCCGATCTCAAATTGAACTAGAACTGTAACTATAACTCAGAGACTTCGAGGTAAGAAAAGCAAAACCTTCATATCAGACAACTCCAACAAATACTGTCTCAAACTTGCTATTTTTCTCGATCACACTAACTAAAAGTCAACAAAATTCGATAAATTAAAACCACGAATTCTTTCGAAAGAAAACAGTAAATCAGCCTGAAACAAAAAATTTGCAAATCACCCAGCCTAAAGCTAATCTACCGCACAAAAAAACCTGTTTATCTAAAACAAAAACAAAAAAAAGAAATAGCAACTTGATTTCAAAATCTCATGACTATCCTTCACCAATACCTACCCATATCCAACCCCCTTGACTTAAGTCAATAAACGAATCCAACCTCACACAAAAGAAACTGGAAAAAATCTCGATCAAGTGAAATCGCTTTCTGAATGATCACTTTCGAACCAGTCGCTAGTTCTTTCAGTAAAACACTTTCAATCTTAAATCATTTTTTTTCAAATTTTTCTAATTCTTTGCATTTTAATTTTTACTGATAATTTAGAATTCATAACAAAAACATTTGAAGCTTTTTTTCTATCCAATTCACCATTTTCTATACATTCTTCTAAATATATTTTTCCCGTTCCCAAACCATCGACCACCTAATCAGGTACGACTACTATCAATACCCTTCTTGATAAATAAATTGCGACTTAGGAAAAAAAAGAAAGTTCGTACTAAAACACTTTGCTTTACAAAGGTAACTATATATATATTAATATTGATCACTAACCAATCATGATCCAATACTAAAACTTACAAAAAATTGTAAAGCTGAAACTCTTCACAATTTCAGCCAGAGAAACTAAAATACAGAATGAAATCAGTTGTTTTCTTCTCTCCTCTAACCGCACAAGAATACCAGTATATACTAGATCTATTGAGACTAGAAAATAAAAGAGTAAGATTAGGATTGGTACTGGGCTAAGAAGTTGCTGGAACCTATCCGGCCGGAAATAAGAAAAATCTATCAGGCGAAACTCAGTATCTTGACAGTGAAACAGTTTCTTTAATTTCGAATATCGACCAATAGGGTTTCAATATGAAATCAAACTTAATTCTTTACGAGCTTTCCTTGAGGTATACCAAATCGGCATAGTTCGCCACAGCTCTATCGACGTTTCAGCAACGTCGTATAAACAAAAATAGATAATTGATGTCATTTTACGAGCAAAAAAAATTAAACTTTTCTTTGTGAATTTACGCTGGAAAAACGTGAAAATAAAACAAAAATTGAAATATTTCACGTTCAGAATGGTTTTAAAATAAATTACTTTCTGATCTATAGCTGTAATATGGCATTAGCGTTTGATTCCAATAGGTGTTCTTTTTGTTGATCAAATAATATAGCCAACACACAGCTGGAAAGGTGTAAAAGAACAAGGAAATCGAAAAAAAAACTTAATTATTGAGAAAAAAAAGAAATCAAATCGCTAAAAATGAAATTTCAATGTGATCAAACTTAACGACTTTTTCCTGAAAAAAAAAATCATCAAAACCTATATACGTAAAACTCACTTCGTTCTTTTACAGTTAAAAACAAAAAAATAATAATTACCGTTAAAACCACTCTATACCAAATATTCTAGAAGAAGACTCCAAACCACGTTAAACAGAACAAATTAAGCAAGAATGTATTAAATTTTGGTCATGTCGACTCATTTTGTAATCACGTATTGTCGATACCAATAACCCAGACAAATTTCTCCACCTCGATTAACTGATTCTTATTTAAGTCTACTTGTCTTTACATTAGATCATACTCCAGAAGAAATGAGATGTTTTCGATGAAACATTGAACCGCTTCTCCCAGAACGTTTATAACCTTAAAGTTAAGGCATCAAACTAATATAAATGACGCATTTGGGGAGCATTTTTTGAGTCAACACAGCCCAAATAGACGTTAAATAGCAACATTGTGGGTATCCTCCATTGCGACGAAAGGGTGAATTCCTAACGATCTACAAGTCAACAATCGTACATATTCATATTCATGCAACGTTATTCTGTATTAGAAAATACGACTCACCAATTTAGACAGCTCTGAGGACCAAGTGTTCGTCTTAATAATCCTCTCCGGTGGTATCCAATGAGTGTAAATCCAGGCCAGCGTATCAATCGCCTGTCTTCCCTCTTTCGTCTGTTCCTCCCCTCCTATGAGCACCCTGTCTGGATTGAGCAGATCTGCTATGGCTGTGCCTTCGGCTAGGAACTCTGGGTTGGATAGCACCTAGATCACAAACCAAACGATACTGGTAATGATTGGTAGTGGATAAAGACCCTTTATCCACTAGGGATAGGACCAGCATACGAGCTGTACAGCTCATCACGGAGAACTTTTGTTGTGCCCCTGCTTCACCATCAAGCAACGAGCACAGATCATGGTGGGCCTCGAACATTCGACCTTTCGATTGATAGGTGGAGACGTAACCGCATCACCACCGGTACTGCACAATTGAAATAAATGGCTCCCTAGAAGTTTTCATGATGAAAGTAGCATCGCCTGCTTGTTGCTTGAGGGTGAGGCAACATTACCCAGACCAGAAAAAAAACCTAAAAAATGCATGTAAATCCTAAGCAAGGGCACAACAACGGTTCTCCGTGAAGAACTGAACAGCTCGTAACTTGGCCTTTTTCCTTGTAGATAAATCGCCAAGGACAATTTTTCAATTTCAAAGAGCTTTAAGGCTAGATATTTTTTCTGAAACTTTTTCAAAAAATATTAGGGTAATCGAGTTCATTGACATTTTCTGTTGGCGATGAGTTTTATCAGGAAGAATTAAAGCTCTTTGAAACTCGTCGCCAACCGAAACTGTCAATGAACTCGAGTGACCTAATATTTTTTGAAAAAATGTTCAGAAAAAATATCTAGCCTTAAAGCTCTTTGAAATTTAAGATCTTTTATGATTGACAGTTTTTAATCAACTTAACCCAATTTGAGAAAATGAATCATCAGCTAAACTTTTTTATTTGACTTATATTTGTCCATTTTTAAACCTAAAAGCCATTCATGTTTTTTGGAGTCATTTGCACTTTCGGAGTTTGAATTGAATGGAAAAAAATCACAAGTAAAACAGCCATAAATTTCGTTCAATCACACTTCAACAATGGTGCCTAATAAATGGAAATGTACTGAAAATTAAAACTGCTTATAGCACAAAAATAGAATCATCCGAATGGCCTTATTGGTCTTTCAAAGCTATTTGATTTTTGATGCTGAAATTGTAGCTTTATTTGCTAAACCGTAAATGCCAATTATTAAATTAAAGTTTATTTCATTGAGGTTAATAAAATTAATTGCTCCAGTTCTAATCAACCTTAATTTAATTTCCAGCTACATTGAATTTTTAAAAATATTATTATTAAAATGAAGACAAATTTGCATCATTTTTTCTTGCTTTTATCTTTTGTTTACATTATATTCAGCATGCCTAGAACGGAAGCTGATATTTTACGATATAGAAACAATCAGATTGAAGACCAAATCTCTATTCCATTTAAAGAATGTAATTTAAACTCAGATTGTGATGCTTACAGTGATAATGTAGCCGCAGAAAAACGAGTTTCAAACAGGTAAATTCAGGAGTGGGGAATTATGAACGGATTGCACAATATTTCCATGCTCGATGAAACATCTACCAGTAGCGGATTTAGGGGGGGGCGGACACCTCCCTCTCAGGGATTCGACCCCCTGCCGACCCAAAGGGTCCCCCCTTTGTACTATTTTGAAATAACCAGTTTTGGCTGACTGATCTTAAAATTTTTCTAAAGGCGCCTTGGGCGCCAATATATTCTAATTTTGAGGGGGGAGCGCGCGCCGAAAAAACGCGATTTTTGGTCGAAATTTTCCAAAAAGTGCCTAAAAACACCTTTTTAACCCTTTTCCAAAAATTTGCCTACGGCGCTGAAAATTTGTTTAAATTAGAGTCTTTATAGTGGTTGCGGAGAGCTCAGCAAATCAATTTGGTCGACATAAAAAAATTAAAAATCCGAACCCCCCCCCATCGAGAGAATTCCTAGATCCGCGCATGACGGATTTATTGATAAATTTTTAGAAATTCGACCCCTCAGCACCCAAAAGCCACCATCTTTGTTCCTATTTTTGACATGCATTTTTGGCCGACCAACTCGTTAAATTTTACAAAAATCACTTAAGGCCCTTGCCCGTTCAAATTTAAGGACTGTCCACCCATTGGTAGTTTTTAGATTAAACATGAGCCAAAAAACTATAGAATGTAATTGATAAAATGTAGTAGCAGAATGTTCCAGTAATTCGGCAACAGACTGAACCGCTTCTCCTAAAGACCGTTTTGGTACGAGAGACAACAGGGGTATTTCATTTGTGGTAACATTTCGGGAATTCCAAATTGTCAGTTTTGTAATTTACAGCATCTGACCAACTCAGCCACTATAAGAGCACATACCTTGAAGAAGATGGCGTATAATATTCAAGTTAGCAAATAACTATTAAATACTGTCGTTTTCTGGAGAGTTTTAACAGAAGTAAATAAAATAAAGCGCATCTCTCTGATTAGTTTTTTCCCTGCATTTTCTGTAATAGTTAGTTAACTACGAAAAATAATTATTGAACTAAAAACCAGGGCCTGGTGTTTGAACACTTTGCAACCCAAAGTTCTCCCTTTGTTCTTTTTTACGACACCCATTTCGCCGGCCGACTTTTGAGAAGTTATAATAATTTTAATATTTTATATAATTTTCATTTTTTTTCCTCAAAAACCCCCACGAGAAAATCTTAGATCCACCGCTACCTCATCAAGAGGTTGGCGGTTCGATGTTCACTATGCTCGGGTATACTTATTTGCGATGTTTCAACAACAAGCTTTCTATTATGGTGAGATAACATTTCATAAATGCTTAGTCATGTGTCAAAATGCTTAGATGAGAGAACGAACTTCATTCAATCTTCGAATGTTTTTTAATCGTCGATTCGCAACCTCTTCGAAATAATACTGTTTCAGCCAAAACAATAATTAAATTAATTTGACAAAAAAAGTAGTGTATATTTCAGATCTAGCTGTCGTGGGTTGTGTTTAAACATGGTCGTGCTCTTTCTGTGCGACTGCACTGATGAGTGCTACCCTGGAGCCAAGAAACCAAACTGCTTCCATTGGAAGTACCGAAAATGTTAGAGAGAAGGAAAAAAGTTACAAGTAGAAAAAACAAAATCTGTTCAGACTGCACAGTGTTCAGTCTGAATAACTTCAAGCTGGTGCGGTAAATTTTTGGTGCGGTAAAGTTGAAGAAATATTCAAAAATTTACTAGTTTTCAGATATTCAAAAATTTACAGTAGTTTTAATCATTGAGACTCGCACACTTCTTTCAAGTCCCTTGATTTCATCTTAGAAAACTAAACGCTTGCATTGAATTCTAATTTCAAAAGACTACCTGGATAAAGTTTTCGGCTCTTTTCCAGCCTTCATTTGAGTTTAATTATTTAGAAACTGTTTCAATATTGTCATAAGGCAATTGCAACTTGAATGGTAACCATACTGACTCTTTGTTCTTCATACTTCACATCGTAGCATTTAACCAGTACAACACTTAAATCAACTATGAAAAAGGATCATTTGAAATGTAGGGGGGAGGGGGAGTGGAAGAGCCAAGTTTTCCTCTAAAAATTTTTAACGATATGCAAAAAGTATAGACGAAACTCAAACGAGTAAATTACCTTTTCATCCATTCAAAATTTACTCTAATTTAGACAAATACTGGAAAGAAGTACACTACAAGTTCAATTAATAAGAGAAGAATTCAAAAATGAAAGATTTTTTTAAACTCAATTTTCAAACTTTGTCCAAAAAATTTCCAATTAATTCAAAAATTCCATACTCAATTTCAGAAAACTCACTAATGTACAGTTACACGGTTCAGAGCTCTAACAGGAAACTATCCAGAACTTCATCGAAACTCACCTGAAAGATGCAACTACTCTTCCAATCGAATATAAATTTTAGGGGCTTTACTTCGGAAACAGCTAGAAAATGCCAAGAAGTAGCTGCTTTTAACAAATTATAAAAAAGCAAGAAAATATTATCTATGTGAATTGAAAAAAAAGCTCGCAACGGGATTAGAACCAGAGCCCTCGCGCATCCAAAATGCCTGCTATACGTAACTTTGCTACTAAAGCATAAAGCAACAAAATACTAGCCACTAATAAAAAGCAGAACACATGCTATCAAACTGCCCATATTATGCTACAAAACTGTTTACGAACAAAACACTATTTTATCCTATTTGGAAAAAAGTGGACTAGTTAAAACAAGCTTGCAAACTCGCATGTGTAATTAGATAAGTATGACACACTGCTTGTTGGTCTCTATTTGCATGTTCTTTCTAGATGTTATTGTTGCAGTATCTTATCACGGACGCTTGGGCCCCGACAGCATGAATCTCTCCCTAATCTTCAGCTCACTAACAATTTAGCTTTTTGGTTAGTTTTATTCAATTTCTCTTTCTGACTGTTTTTTAGACTAACTATCGCATCCTCCCCAATTCTGAACACACTATTTACATTGTGTCAATAATAAGTTATTCAACTGCATGCTTGAGATTTTAATATTTAACATTATACATTTTCTAATATGGCAATAATTTCATGGCTATCAATGACATCACTTTAGAGGTGTCACATAACCTGTTTTTACATAAATTTTACGCATTGATTGGAATTAGCACTGAGGTAAGAATTTCAAATGAATAAAATGGGTAAAATTTTAAGCGAAACTTTAGTCTACTTCGTTTAGCTGCATTTCAAAAGAAAACTGCTACGTCAAAACTATAAATCATAGTAATTTAAATGTGCATCAAATCGCTTTTAATTCAATAATTTACTTCGCAATAAATTTAGCAACAGTTATACGGTACAATTCAATTTCACTAAATTTAAATCAATTTTAACGCTAATTTTAAAATAATCAAAATACGTGGAGTTAAACTGTAAGGATTTAACTTGGGAACAAATACATTTTATTTATTAATCAATATAAAGCGAGTATACACTCATTGAAATTAACAGATTATAACACTTTATAAGTTGTAATTAAATGAAAAAAAGTATCAGAACTTAGGTTCTGCGCAAATATGTTAAAGATTTCAGCCATTATGAGTTTGATTCTTCATTAAGCCACCATGAGAGTCATTAGGGTCAGTCATTTATGATTTGATCAATTGAGTGATTTTACTCAGGTTTCAGTTAATGAAAATTGTAA